TTAGCATCTTTACATAAAACTACATTTTATACTCTAAATTTCATAATGGGGATTTTATAACAAAAATAAGTCAGCGTGAGACAGCCCTACTTTCCTTCCCTCTAACCTCGCCTCACAATGTTGAAATAAATATTTGGGTACCATAAAGATATTTTATTTTAAGGTTGGGCTACAAAATGACCAGTTAAGTTTTTTTCAGTCCGAGTGTGTTTTGTTTAGAAGGTGGCAAATTCAGAGAAAAGGGGAGAATTAAAATATTTGCAAGATGTCATTAATCTCCAACAAGAGCATAGAGTTGTTTTTTCCCCCCTTCATTTTAGAACTAATCCTGCTTTCTGTTATTTGGCTCAGAAAAGTCTTAAATCTGTAACAAGAGAGTAACTTCCTGTTCTCAGGAGTATGGCTGCCAAAGAAAACATTTACAAGAAAAGTCCCAGGGCCAAAAAATTGCCTACTAATTATTTCTCAACCCCTCTCCCACCCCTGATTCAGGAAGGTGAATCCTGTAAACGCTCTATGTTAAAACCTGAAAAATTAAGAGAAAACCCTCAAGAACTGTTTGCCATTTATTTATATTTTATTACATTCAAATTACATCAGTTTTATGGCCCTTGGGCACAAATGAATGTTTCTTATAGTATTTTGTTCGGAATTCCACAAAGATTATACTATACCTTTATCAAAATACATTATGGAAGTTTTTATTATACCAGCACCTCTCCAACTGAGAGAAAGAGAAAGAGAAAAGCAGCCCCTGACATCCTAGTACTGACCAGTACCCCACAGTGTTGCTAAGATCTGGCCTGATACTTACAGCGAGGTCTTGGTGCTATCCTTGGTGATCTGTCCATTCAATTCAATCCCAATCCAAATCCCAACTGCCCTTTTGTAGAAATTGACAGACTGTAAAATTCATACAGAAATGCATAGGACCTAGAATAGCCAAAACAATTTTGAAAAAGAAAAACAAAATTGGAGAGTCTACACTACCTGACTTCATGGTCTATGATAAAGCTACAGCAATCAAGACAGTGTGGTGTTGGTGTCAAGATAGGCAACTCGATCAATATAGCAGTAGAGAGAGTACAGAAATAGATTCTTACAAATGTGGCCAATTGATTTTCAACAATGGTGCAAAAGCAACTCAGTGGAAAATGGGTAGTCTTTTCGAAAAATGATGCTAAAACAATTGGCTATCCATATGCAAAAAACCACTATATACTTCATACCACATATTAGTTATCTAATCCTGCCTAACGAATTACCCTAAACTTTAGCAGCAATCTCTCTCTGGTCTCTTTGCTCTGGTCTCTCTTTTTAGAAACTCATCTTCGGTTTCCCTTTTGGGCTTTTCCCTCCCTGACAAAGTCAAATGGATTATTCTCAAATTCACATGTAAAGGAAAGGAGATACAGTTTATTTAATCTCCCGTTTAACCAGCCATGTTTCCCACGCCCCCTATCTTCCTACTGTACAATCCTATTCACTGGCATTCATTAAGTGTAATACGAACACTAGTAATTCACTAGAATTCTCTAATATGTGTCCAATAAGAGGAATTCCTTGGGTTTGCAAATATTCTTGGTGCAATACTGCCTTCCAGTAATTATTAGCAATGATAGCAGGTATCAGTTATTGGCATGTCTCTGAGGCAGTGCTGGGAGATTTATCCATGCTGTCATGTGATCTGCAAGCCTATGCAGGGGATGCAATTCCACTTACTTCACAGGCAAAGCTGCATTCGGGGACATGAAGCCTCAGAGTGCTGCAGGGACCTGACCGGGGCTATTGTGATTCAATGGCGGACCTGGGACTGGCCAGGCCTCCTACCTGTGTTCTGAAATCAGATATGTCTGAGTGGTTTTATACAATTTGCGCATCTCTTTGAGTTTCACTTTCCTTATCCACAAATGGTGATAATAACGTCTTCCAGGCAGGACTGTGGTAAAGGCTCAGTGTAAGTGTGCAGTGTCTAGCTCAGTAATTCCTGGTCTCCTCTACTTCCCCCCAGCGAGGCTCTTTCTGGAATACTTTTCATTTGTAGATTGCTTCTTGCTTGTCAAGGTTTGGAATGGATTCCCTCCAAATGAGTAGGGGTGTCCCTGCCCCTGAGGAGCTTACGTCACTGGGGAGACAGGAAATGGACATGATCATCAGTCATGAGATGTAAGAATAAAGAGGGGGCCGAAAATCAGTGCCCCTGGGATTCAGCGATGGGAAAAATTAGGAGCAGGACTCACTGGGAAGGACTCTGGAGAGCATGAGGATCTCAAGGTGCCTGTCTCTGTCTTCCCAGCACCGGGCATGTGCTGGCTGAACTGAACTGTGCCTCTACATCTGGGTGTCAAGAACAGCACCATGGCCCAATGTGGCCTGAGCCAGGACCAGAAGGAATCCTGCCCTTTCTGTCACCCCCCACTCCTTGCCCTGGTGACCTCCCTAGAGTTCCTGGAGCAGGTAGATGGCATTCACTTGGGAGAAGGCGGGTGCCCAGAGTAGACACGTGGACGAGCTCAGGGCTCATCCTTGGTTGAAGCACCCTCCAAGCACTTTCCAAATGTTGGTCCTCTCTCCCAGGCTATCCCTGAAATATGGGGCACATCCCACCCAGAGTCAAACCCCATCTCAGGCACGTGGCCTGAGCTTCTTCTATCTCCACAACTGGCTCTTGATCCTGGTTCACGAAGCATGGCCCTCCCTGATTCCTGGATCCTTAGAGACACTTGCTCCATCTGAGCCCCACTCTTGACTCCTGTCAGCTGCCCAGGTACTCTCCCAGCCCTAGCGACACCTCCAGGCCCCCAGCTCACACCTGCATGTCCCTGAGCTCTGGTATCCAAAGGCAATATCTCGAAAAAAATTTTTTCACTGCCTGTTTGGAGGGGTAGGTATGCCTACAGAAAGCAACATTATACACTCTGTTGCTCATTTCTCATGTTGGCAAAGGGGTCAGAAAATCACATTCTCAGCCTGTTGGAGAGTTTTGATGGATACAAATTTCCACAGGCCAAATTGGACCATAGGCACCAACTAGTGTGCATACACTAGTTGCATGACTTCTGACCTGGTAATTTCTCTTCTAGGAATTTATTCGGAGAAAATAATTAAGGAAGTGTACAAAGACATGTGCACAAGATGGTTCATCAGAGGATTGCTTTAGAAAGGTAAAGACAGCTTCCAAAATTCCAACATTAGGGAATAGGTTGAGTAAATCACAGTATATCAATACAACGGAAGCCAATTAACTATGCAGTGCTGTAAATTATACATACAGCATGTATATGTGTATATATATATAATGATCATCTATATATATAATCTTTTATATATATGATCATAATATAATACAAAAAGGAGTTACAAAAGTACATATTGATAACAGGCAGCATCTTTTAAATGCTGACCATGTGCCAAGCACTATTCTAAGAACTGCACAGGGATTAACTCATTTACTCTGCACACCAACCCCATTAGTAAAGAACTGTCGCTGTTTCCATTTCACGGGGACTCAGACAGATCTGTGACTTACCCACATGCATACTAGTGACTGAGCTCAAGCAGTTGTATTCCAGAGCGTTCCCACATTCTTAAAAATCACATGATTCTGCTTCTCAGTATAGGGTCATATTTGTTTTAAAAACAAAACAAAATAAGTGACGTGTGTGCATGTGTGCATGTGTGTTTTAAGAAAGTCTGGAAGGACTGGAATGAAAATATTAATTTGAAGCATTATTATAGGATGTTATTTTTTATTTAAAGAAAGCTTTACATACACTGCTGCTTTCCATTTCAGTGAGATAAGTTTACTATGTAATATTAGAGTTCATCCCCCCAATTTTACATAATACCCTTGCTCAGGAAGAGGTTGATGAATTTCGCCCTTTCTGATGGAAGGTTGGGGGATCACTAGAGTTGATTTTGACAAAGGATCATCTCTCAGTTTCTTTCAGTTTCTGTCTGTACGAGTTAGGGATTCTCTGTAATAGTCTCTCTGAATAGTTCAAATCATGTTTAGAATTTTCCATATGTTGAAGATATATTTTAAAATACAAAGGCCCCAGCTGTAGAATGATCCCTGGCCTTCTTTAAATTTAAAATTACCAAGTTTTTCTTGCTTGTTTTGAGAGGGAAAGGAGGGAATGTGGAAGTGTTTGCAGAGCAGTTTTCATTTCTGCCTTGATCTCATTAAAACCGATATTCTTTAAGTCATTGTGTTTCATTTAGAAACTGCTTTCAGACTCACTTCTCCAGGGGCCTGGGCTCCTGGCACCCTCTGCCACTCTCTGAGTCCAGCTTCCCTATCTCCTGGTCCTAAGGGCGGCCTTTTCACCAAATGCTCCTCCTGGGCGACTGCTGCAGGGCATGGCTTCTTGTGCTGAAACACCTGCATTAGTGAGGGCCAAGCAGGGCAACGGTGCTTTAAACAAACCTCCAGGATGACACAAGTGCCGCCTATGTGCCCAGCATGCTAGGCCCTCTGTGGGAATTACCTCGACAGGGTCACAGCAACCTATCAAGTACGTGTGTATCCTAGATTTTCAGACATGAAACTAATATTCAGAGAGCTTTGATGACTTGTCCAAGGTCCCACAGACAGAATTTAAATAGAAATTTGGCACCAAAATGTACATTTTCCTCTTTACACTATCCTGACTCATAGTGATGTATCCAGTTGAGTTGCTTTGCTTACTTTCCTTCTCTTTTTTCTTTATTTCTGAAGTGAGGAGAGTAAGAGGTGGGGAATTTGGGCAAAGAGGAGATTCTTAAAAGCAAAAACTATATTTGTACTTTGTGATCACGAATGTATTTTACTCTTTCTAGAAGGTGGGTTAACTAAATAGATTTCAGGAATTAAAACACACACACAATCTTACAGCTTATAAATGCGTCTGTGGCTTGTGCTGATTGAAGGATCGTGTGATCTGAGTTTGACGCTCATTCCAGAGCCTGATTTGCTCTCTATCCCTTCTACATGGTCGTGGAAGCAACACAGAGTAACATTAGTAAAACAAAATATATATTTATTAAACATATGTGGACATAGGTTATAATATCAAAGTAGAGCATGCATGAACAGATTACTCATTCATTTAACAAAAACACCCATTGATACAGAAAACATTCGATTAAATTTCCACGACACACAAAATTCTCTTTAAAGTGATAAAGAAAAAAAAAATCACAAGTTGAATAAATACAGTGATTTCAGCTGGTTCAATAAAGGCATAAGGCACAAATGAAACCAAGAGATTAGCACATCAGAATGAAGCTTGTCTGGGCCACACAAGTCTCTAACCGTGGCTCCCGCGGCCCTGCACAGATCTTTGGGACCAAGAGGTAAGAGCACCTGCAGGCTGGAATTCCTTCCCTCCAGGTTCAAGTTTTGCCAGGTGCCCATGCCCCTTGCAGACAGGCTTCCCTGTACCAGAGAAACACTGCCTCTAATACTTTTACGGGTAAACAAGACCTTCGTGCTGCATCAAATGTTCCTGGCGTGAATAACATGAAATTTCACATTAAGGCCCTCTTCCTTCCCAACCGAAGTCTAGCAAAACAGAAAATAAATTGTGAGGGAATCTCCTGATGGGATTTCAGTGTCTACATGGAGAAGAAATGATGATGCAGCACAGCAGCATACACCGGTTGTGTGTCTGAAATGTGACCTTATCTCTCCCCCTCTCACCTGCCCCCTCTACCTTCACTTTCCCTCCTGTCTCAGAAGCCGACCAGAAGCTCAGCAGTGTCCATCCTGGCTTACTCTGTGTATACCAGAAAATGACAGTCATCCTCTCCGGACTTCAAGCCACAGGGTCCCAGGGCCTTTGTCCGTGTATAAAAAGTGCACGTCTTCAAGTGCCTAAGTCAGAGTTTTCTTCATGGTTAACTCCAGGACTCTCGTGTACGGGGTGTAGTTCCTGGAAGGCATCACGATTTCACGAGTCCTGCCTGTTTGGCTGAGAAATGCGAAAAGGCAGGTCAGGGAGATGAGACAAAACTTTCCATCTTCTTCACATGATAAAGTAACTCTAGGAAATGGTGTTTAAGCACTTAAAAACACTGTAATAATACACTTTAATATTTCCTTTAAACATTACAAAAGGGCCCTGCCATGGACTGCATGTTTATGTCCCCCCAAATTCCATGTTGCAATCCTAACCCCCAAGGTGATGGCATCAGGAGGTGGGGCCTTTGGGACGTGTTTAGGTCATAAGGGTGGAGCCCTCAAGAATGGGATTAGTGCCCTTGTAAGAGAGGCCCCTGACAGACCCGGCACGCCTTCTGCCATGTGACGACACAGCGAGAAGGTGCCGTTTGTGACCCAGAAAGTGGGCCCTCACCAGACACCAAATCTGCTGGCACTAGGGTCTTAGACTTCCTGGACTCTAGAATTGTGAGAAATAAATTTCTGTTGTTTATAAACCACCCAGCTTAGGGTATTTTGTTATAGCAGCCTGAACAGACTATGACAGAACCATTATCTTTAGTAACTTTTAAAGGCTGGAATAGGCATCCATGATTCAGAAAAATATAAAACATGCATTCAAGGAACTCATAATTTGGTTGGAAAGATATGCACGCAAATGATTTCAATATACTGTTTTAGGTACTAACACAGAGACAGAGCTGGGCTGGATGTCCTCTGGGCACCCATTCAGATCTGCTCTCCCCTTCTCCACCCTGCTCTGTGCTCTGGAAAGCTGACCTGAAGGCCAGCATCTGTGGGCTTCCAGGTCCTTCTTTCCACCTGGGAGATGGCAGGAGAGGATCAGAGAATGAGCAGGCAGAGAGGTCAGGACATTTGTCCCCTCCCAGCCAGGCTGCAGCCACAGCACAGCTCCCCTGGCACTGTCCCTCTGCCCCTTCAGACACGGGGTGGTAATGGCTGCCACTCTTACCAGCTCCAGAGCATGCCATTGTCCCTCGTCTATTTCCCTTAAAGCTGCCCAAACATTTGTAAATCATCCCTTAATTTAACTCTCTTCAATCTTCCCTTCCTGCCAGAACCCCGAGCCATGTAAGAATGAACACATCATGGGCAAACTGAGGGCAGAACAATTTAGCATCATCAGGAAATTCACACCTGGAAATTCACACAGAGAAGGTGACTGTTAGGGATGCCTGGCATTTATCAGGTGGGCAAAGAGGGGACAGGAATTCCAGGAAGGAGGGATAGTATGTACAAAGGCAAAGGTGAGCACACAGTCTGTGGATGTGGGGCGGAGACACATTTGGTATGTCTGGAGCAAGGAGTTCACCATGGAAAACAGCGACAGATGAGGCCCTGTGGAGAAGGGCCCCGTGTGCCTGGCTAAGGAGTTCAGAAGGGGACAGGGAACTGTAACAGGTTTTTAAGGAAGGGCATGATATGCTCGTATTTTTATTCTAGCAAGATTCCTCTGGTAATGTTGAGGGTTGACTGTGGAGCAACTATCATAGAGGCTCACTACTGACACACCACTGGAAGCATCTTACTGCACCCATTGGTGCATGCATTGGTCTCCACTGCTAGGTTTAATTTCTTTAAAAATGAAAAACACATCTCCATCATCTCCATGACCCCAGCAGCTCACAAAGGCCAGGCACGGAGCTATTACTCCACATCTGAAGGTCAAAGGAAACCAAAGGTTGAGGGAGTCGTGAGGAGTGGTGCTCCTAGTGTCACCTGCCACAAAGAAGAATCCGTGGACTTCGGCAATTCAGGAGTCCCCAGTGACCTGGGCAGGCAGCTTAGTGGAATGCCAGGGGCAAGAGCCAGATGGCAATTTGTGCCAACTCCTGTGAAAATTCCACATAACAGAAATGGTCTCCAGTGACAATATCCTAAAAGCCCATAAAATGCAGAAATATTTATAAAGGTGAACCTTCTGGGTTTCAAAAACAGACTCTCATATCCCAACCTTTCAAAAAAGAAGTGGGGTATTTTATATAGTTGATCCTGAGGAAACAACAAGATTTTAAGAACATAAACAATTTCAAGCACAGAAATGAAAATTCAACCATTTTCTTTAACACATTCAGGCTATTGTTAACCTTTTATTAATCCATAAAGGGGCAGTTCCCCTGGGGGGAACAATAGCAGAATCAGCAAATGAAGCTTTGACAAAAAGCTACTTTGTGTTCTGGTCTTTGCAACAGAAATATGAAAATGCAAGCATTTTAAAGCACTTACTACGTGCCAGGCATTTATGGCCATGGGGAATATTTTTCATCAACTTGCACTTCTTAAGACGTAATTTATGAGTTTGCTGGAAATCAAGTTTCACTGAGGGACAAGAGAAAGAAAAGTCTCTTTTCTTCTGGTTTTTGGTTTTTTCCCTTTTCTTTGTAAATGAAGGCTAGATGATGTGAACTCATTCTCAATAAGTTTCATTAAAATATATCAAACTTTTCAATCCAGACTTCTGAGTCTTTAAAAAAAAAAACAGGTGTTTAAAAGGCCCGCACCCACAGTTAGTCCCTCCTTACCCTTTCCCTCTCTTATTCCTCTCTGATGAGATCTTTGCTCACTAGAAGTGTATGTAACACAAAGGTGAGATGAAGGAGGGGAAGACCTGGAGGAGAAGGTGGAGGCAGAGAGATGGTTCTGCACAGAGCAGACTAAGGCAAGGCCAGTCTCAGGCTGGCAGCACAAGGAATGTTCCATGTGAGTGCATGAGTCTAGGAGCAAAACAATCCCACGGCTCAAAGCAACTGCAATACTCTGAGCTTAGGGCACGGGGAAAGCCGTGGCAGCACCTACAGAGACGTGACAGTGTGGCCACTTATACTGGGTGCTCTGTGCCTGTTATCTCGCTTAGACCTTCTCAGCAAGCTTCTGAGGGGGTTACCACCAACATCTTCCTTTTCAAGGTGAGGAAACTGAGACTCAGAGAGGTTAGGAATTTGCCAAAGCTACAGGTGTAGCAGGAGGCAGAACCAGGACCCAAACCCAGGTCTAACTTTCAAGCCAGTATTATTCTTCACCACTACTAAGAGGAAGTGACTTTTTTTTTTTTTTATTTCAGGATATTGTGAGGGTACAAACATTATGGTTACACTTTATGTCTTTGCCTCACCCAAGTGCGGGTTAAAGGCAGGCCCTTCCCGCCCTACAGTGCTCCCCATGTCCTTTAGTTGCGGATTTACCCCCCATCCCCTTAATCCCTGGAGAATGTTTCTGCCATGTGATCACCCTAGTGTTGATCAGTTAGTACCAATTTGATGGCGAGCCCATTCTTCTGCTCTTGTGGTGCCTCACTTTGGATAATGGGCTTAAGTTTAATCCAGGAAAGTATAAGAGGTTCTAGATCACTGTCGTTTCTTATGATTGAGTAATATTCCATTGTAAACATACATCAAATTTTAATAATCCACTCATGGATTGACGGGCACTTGAGTTGTTTCCACATCCTTGCAATAGTGAATTGTGCTGCCATAAACATTCGGGTAGTGACTTTGAGGGAGAAGATGGTGTGCTCAGCGATGCAATGGCAAGTCTGGAGACCAAGCGGACACCAGGGGGAGCCCTCAGCAGGCTGAGGGCTTGTACTCAAGAGAGAGGTGAGCACTGCCTTGGGGCTCAGCCACAAGGAGGAGGGGTGAAGCTGTCAGGTTGGAGGTGATCTCTGCAGGAACAGCTGGAGCCAAGATAGAGCTGTGAGGAGCGCCCATGGTGAGGCTCTTGGAAGAGGAAGCGGAGCCATCGAAGAAGATAGACAAGGACAGCCAGGGAGGTGGGGAGAGAACCAGGAGAGAAAAGTTCTCCAAAGGTAAGAAGCAGGCTTAGGGATCCTTCCCTTCTGCTTAGGAAGGACTGCCGAATGCTGCAGGGAGATGGCTCCATTCAACGAATACTGACTGAGTGCCCACCATGTGCCATGTGCCTGCCCCCCCGGGGGACCACAATCCATGAAATGGATGAAAATCCCTTCCCTCATGGGGCTTACATTTTAGCAAAGACAGAGACAGAGAGAGAAACACAAAAAAGCAAAACATAAGCAGGAATTGCTCCATCCAAGGGCTTTATTAAACAACTAAACTATATTACAAAAGAGATCGGCTGCCTAAGTTCCCCATTTGGTGTGTACCTTTCATTGATTCATCCAACAAATGTTTATGGAGCAAAACTAAATGTAAATTTTTTTCAGCAGGACAAAAAAAAAAAAATAGAGCAGGTATAGCTGTAAGTCAAATGCTTTAGGAGGAGCACATCATATAACACTTGCAGTTGTATGGGATGGATGTGTAGGAGATGCCATGCTACTCTACAATGAGATGTGTGCCTGGTGCCTGGAACACACAGGGGCCCTCTCCTGTCTCAGCTGATAGAAACCTTATCAAGCACTGGACCTTCCAGAGTTTTACGCAGTGTCTAGAGGGGGTTTCAAACCACTGATACATCAACTGAAGAGCTCAATGCATACTGAAGCACGGTACACTTGATTAGGCCATCGATTCATTTTATAAAATCACTAATTACCACCAATAAAAATTAATGAAATTGTCTTAGCTTACCCAGATTCATTTATATTTGATACAGTGTTCTGCATATAAAATCAGAGGTTTGGTTCAGTTAGTAGTAATAATAGCTACTGTTTATTAAGTACTTCACTTTGGTCCAGTTACCATGCTAGATGCTTTATATACACATTTTCATTTAATCCTCATAGAAACCCAGTGAGATTTGATATTATCATCTTCATTCCCATTTTAAGGATGAAAGAGTGGAGGCTTTAGAGAGACTGAGTAGCCTGCCCACGGCTGCGCTCAGCTAGCAGCTGGCTGGGCAGGGAACCCAGGCAGCCTGAGACTCCCGGACTGGACCACACTGATGAGTGCTTTCTGGGAGAAGAACGGGGAGTAAAAACAAAACACTTCCGCATAATTGAGGCTTCATTCAATATGTTTATTGATCTAAAATATTCAGTAGGAGGCTTTACAAAATATTCTGGAAACTACCATAGAATCTTTTAGTAGTTAGATGCAAATGTGAAGTCCAAGTAGGAACTAGGAATTTTGTTAGCACACACACAACACCATTTAGCAACTGTCTATGTCTTACATATTTTTCAAACCACAAATGTACTGCACCAACACTCAAGAAGGCCTGGTTCTGGTCCTGGCTGTGTGGCTTCCGGTTAATCACTTTGTCTTTCTGGGTTTCAATTTTGGTATCTATAAAACATGGGGATTAAACTAGACCGGGGGTTCCAATTTGTTTTTGACCATAGAACTCTTTATTCTAACAAACTCTAACTCGGAATCCAAAATACAAAAGAGACTGAAAGCCGCCTTTCTCAGGTTGTTGTGGGGAGGGGGATCCCACAGGCCAGCTCCTCACTAGCCCCCCCATCCTCTGGGACAGCCTGAGGCCTCGCCAGGAACCCCAGCTCAGAGTAAAGCAGTCCCAAGAGGTGCAGGTGGAAAACTACCGCCCCAAAGTCATCTCTCACTCACTCCCCAGACGTGCCCGGCGCCTTTCACATAGTAGGCACTTAATAAATATTTGTGAGGAAACGAATGAAATATTATTCTGCCTTTTCGGAAACGCGGATATGTAGTTTTCATTTCCTCTGCTGATTGACCTAGGTAGTTAAACTGCTAAGATGGATCCTGGGGGAAACCAAATGTTACATTTATGGAAAAGCTGTTTTTAGATCCTGAAGTGGCTTCCAAGTTCACCGTGGCCATAAGTTAAGGCTCTGTCAGCACTTCCATTATGAAAACCGCTTTGTGGTTTCATAACTTAGCCATAAAAGTTGGCTTAAGGCTATACTTGGGCATACAAATTGAAAAGCTTGTTTTAAGCCAAAATGTGGGAAGTAGAAAACAATTTATTGTTTTCAGACATAGTTTTGTACCCGTCTTAGCCAAACAAGATTTATTATGTGGGCAATTAGAGTTGACTAAGCCACTTGGATTTGAAAAATAAAAAAGGGGGGAAATGGCCAAATTATTTATATTTCAAAAGGGGGCTCTGAACACAATCGATCATTCTTTTTGGTTATATTTTCATCATGTCCTTTGTACCACACATTGATGAGACCAGAGTCTATTTACATATTCTTTCTTTTATTTTCTTTTTAACATTTTCTGTTAATTTTATCAGAATGACACAATTGCTTTGCTTTTACAAGAAGGCAAGCAACGTAAATGAGAACCTTGTCAGTGAAAGAGCTTAATGTTGCTTTTGGTAAATTTTTGGAGAATCGAAAGTGGATCATTTTAATGAACAAAAAAGACAATATTAGTAATGAATAAAAACAAGTAAAGTATGGAAATGAGTCCTTATTATACAATGTTAGAACTGACAGGGACCTGAGACGTCACCTGGTCAAACCCCTGATTTTATAGATTGGGAAACTGAGGCCCCAGCAAAGAAAGACCTGCCTGAAGTCATCTTGCCACTGGTGGGTAGGACTAGAACCAGGTATTCCCCATCCCAGCCTGGTGATCCGCTCATCACTGTTTCCCACCAGATGTAACCATTCCAGATTCCAGGATTCGATGCTTGTCTGGACTACTATGTCTAGCACAGCCCACACAAATGCCTCTGCTTACACAAGAATCCACCCTCCTGCACACAGGATACCACACATTTTGTGACTTTGCCTAAATCAGAAGTCACATGTCATTAGCATCCTTGTTGTAAACTTATTTTGTGTCCTCTTTAAGCTAGACACAGTTGTGAGCACCTAGAAATGGTGAGTTGGTTGCCAAAGGTAGGTTATTGGGCTCTAATCTAACTAGGGAGAGACGCAGGCATGGGAGTGGTTTAACAATGAACCGGTCGGTCCTCCAGCTCCGGAAAGCAACAGAACGCACCGGGTGGTAGTTATCACATATCTGCTGATGACTGAAGCAGATCATTTATTTATGAACCGGATCCAGTGTTTCACAATACTGTTAACAGTACTGGAGAATAGATAAATTTTGTTCAAGACTGAGACCCTCCCTCTTCTATATCACTGAAGCACCTCTACGCCCCTCTCACACTTATCATAAATGCCTTCTGCCTACACACCTGTTTCTCCCTCCAGGCTATACTCTGGGGCAGGAACAAAATCTCATTCTTCTCTGTGTCTGGCACAGGAAAGGTACCCAATAGCTGTTTGCTAAAAGAATGAATCAATGAACAAATGTATGCACTTACTGACAGGACCAATGTCTCTCTCAAGTGGCTTCCCCAGGTCTCCCCCTCTCTCTCCCCTCCACCTGTACAACGAACCCTGCTCCCACAGAAATCAGGTGGACCTCTGAGCAGCTACCATTTAGTTTTGCAGAAATAGTTTTGATAGCAAGAATGCAACTCTGTTAAAAACAGCCCAGTGAAGTATTTTCTAAAGTCAAAGAGGAATTTTAGTACAAAAAACAGGAAATTCCTAAATACCTGGGTATAAGATCACAGCCCACTCCAATCTCTCTGGTTTCCACTTCAGTCTTGGCCTGGATTTCTGTCAAATAGTCCAACTTGCTTTGTAGTTCATTATTCTAGAGATGAAGAAAAAAGTACTTTCAGTAAATCAAGTATGTTGCTCCACAAATATGCATGATACAATTTATATGTATCGTGTGATCTCCCCCCATGGCGTGGACATTCATCACAATGTATTTATTGTGCATCTCTTATGCAGCAGGTATATATTGAAGAAATATTTTGATTGAATCCTTATAGATAGCTTTCAGTGCATGTACATACAGGATCGTCCAATTTTTCATAAATGAAAACAAACAAAATATCCTGATTTATACTATAATCTGCTTTTTTTCCCAGTCAACAATTTGTGGTAGATATCTTTCCATGTTTATTAGTTTTCTCTTTACATCAACAAACTACTTTAGTTAGTTCATAGTATTCCATTGTATGGATTCATTTTTTATTTAATTAGTCACTTGATGGGCATTTAGATATTTGTCACTTTCTCTGCCATTGTAAATAAAGTGCAGCTCAACTTTTAACACCCCCTCATTAAGCTATAAAGTGAGTAAGTCTATTAATTTAATTTAGTGGGAAGTACCTCTATAACTTAATAATTAGTATTTCGTAGGTGTGGAAAATTCAGAATCTCAAACATATAAAGTAGAACAAGCTCCTTGGGATTAGAATTACCCTTCTGAATAGTTTCTTTTCAGGCCAGAGCCAACCATTACATAAGTTGAAGATTAGATGCTCAGGAGTTGGAAATTTGCCCCATGGGGGAAATGAAGGACAAAGGGGCAAGAGAGTTGAGGATATTGAAATGAAAATAGATGAAGCGATGGTGCCTGAAACCCAAGGGCAAAAACACACAAAATAATTCTGAGAAAGGTTAACAGTGCTTATCTCTGGGTATTGAGTTTTTCAGATGCTTTTAAAAAAGTTCTTCTCTATAATTTTCTGTAATGCTACACTAAATTTTCATGAAGCAATGACCATATCTATCTTCCTGGCTGTATTCTCAAATCATGGCATATAAGAGATACAAGATAAGTATTTATTGAATAAATAAATATGTAAAAAAGCTTTTACGATGAGCATATTATCTGCATAACTAGAAAAAAATTAAAGCATGTGTCTTTACATTGGAGCTGAAGCTGAAGCACTCTTCTAAGACAACAGATAACACATGAAAGTTTAAAAGTTCTATGGAAATAGAACCTCATTTGTTTTGAGAGAAAGAATGTGGGTTACAGCGCAGTAGCTCCTGCTCTGAAGGGTGACGGCAAGGAGCAAAGCAGTAGTTCTTGTGCAAACCTATGTTCTGCACGAGGTAAAGGTTTCTGGATCCCTCTGATAAATAGGAAACGGTGTAAAGGAAGAGAATGTATTCCAGATTCCCTAGCAGCTGAAGCTATGACAGATCTATGGGCTCTGAATCTATCACCTGATCCTCAGGATGGAAGAACGGTGTTGGCTTACTGACAGAGGTCAGCAACATTCATACACACGTACACACACACACACACACACACACACACACACACACTGCTTCCCCGGAACATCTGAACTTTCCCATTCACAAGGAAAGAGAAAGGCAGAAGAGGTCTACCCTTGCTGGAAGCTCCAGCAATCCCATTGCCTTATCCTTTCTTAGTGTAAAGACTTTAATCATGAGGATTTCACAGAATGCTCTGTAGTACCTATATAGTAAGGGGGCATAAAAGACGAGGTTAGGGAATATGCCCCAGTTAGTACACAGTGAATAATGGACAAATGCCCCCAAATCCTTTGTTCTATTTCATGAGAACTCTCTGTGTGCACATCAGACGCCCACAGAGCACAGAAATGAACAATCTGTACTCATGAAAATTTAATGCAATCTGTAGAAAAATTATTGTGTATCTACTATATATTATGCAGTATGTGAAAGGAGGTGAGGGGACGTAGTCAGAAGTTAAAGAGGCATGGCATGATTTGCCGCCCTTGAGGAGCTCCGTCTTTTGGGGGTACAGACAACTGAGTAGAAAATAACAGGACAATATGATAAGTCCCACTGAAAGGGGACCCACAGGATATTAAGAGAGAACTCAGAGGGGACATCCAACTCAAAATGGGGAGAGGGGCTGGAGCTCCTGGAGTTAGGCGAGGGAAAGAAAGCAAGAAAAAGCGAAGGGGATGAGTATTCCAGAGTTGTGGAAACCTACTGGGTTGAGAAAAGGCACCTTCCCGCATCACACAGGTAGGTAGGAGTTAGTTATGAAAGGCTGTGGATGCCATTACAAGGAGTTAAAACCCAGTCTTATAAGAGCAAGGTCAGCACCAGAATTCATTTGCATCTCTTGGCCCCAAGTGAAAACTAGATTGGGGGAAACAAGACTAAAGACAGTAGGAAAGCCATTGCAATTACCCAGTTGAAAGAGAGCTGCACTTCCAGTATACAGGAGTATGTGCTCAGCACACTGACCCTGCTGCAAATAATAGCTATACACTCTGAATAAAAGACACAAAAACAACTAATGAAGTCTCTAGAGCACTGAAAGAAGACAGGCAAGTTTTGGAGATGAGGTGAAACTTGGAGCAAGTGACACACACTTCTCTGTATTCTCTGTGTTTTGTTCATTTTTTGTTTTTTGTTTGCAGCTTTGCCCTGAGAGCAACACAATCATGGTGGTGGTAGCACAGATACGGTAAGAAGTCAATAGAAAGACCATCTTCCTGGCAGAAGAAACTAGAAGAAGGAGCCCTGGGTTCCCAAGAGTAAGGGGGAAGACAAGAAAGGAGAGTCGGAGTGGGGGGAAACCCCAAATTCTACATATAGATAGACTCAGCTCAGGCCTCAGGTAGACCCCCAAACCATTCACGTGTGGGGCAAACGAAGAAGTTTGCAGCTCATGCTTAAAGAACTGAACTGAGATCTGACCCATCACCTATCACAGGTAAGCAGGGTATAGTGGGGTCTAACCAAATTCATTGCCTTTTGAAATAAATATACAGTACAAAAGCAATTTATGTAACCAAAATGTTTGTACCCCTGTAATATTCTGAAATAAAATAAAAAATAAAATAAAAATAAATAAAACAAACACCTCAATATTCTTCAGAACAATGAAACAGCATCCAAAGACTCTACAATTCACACTGTCCAAATTATAATCCAAAATTACATGACATACGAAGAGTCAGGAAATACGAATGATTCCGAAGGGAAAAGAGAATTGACAGACACCAATTCGATATGATTTGGATGTTGGAATTTTCAGACAAGGACTTTAATGCAAGTATCATAACTATGATCAATGATACAAAGGAAGATGCTTATAATTAATGAAGTAATTAAAAAAATCAATAGAAAATACAAAAAAGAACCAAATGGAAGTTTTAGAAGAAAAAAGTACAATACCTGAATTTTTTAAAAAAACATTCACTAGATGGACTTAAGCGAAGACTGGAGATGATAAAAGAAGAAGTCAGTAAACTTGAACATACGTTAATAGAAATTATCCAATCAAAAGGAGATAAAGAAAAGAATGAAAACAACAAATGGAGCTTTGTGGAATTGTGAAACAATTTTTAAAAGCCTAATGTAAGGATATCAGAATCACAAAAAGAGAGAAGAGGGAAACTAAAGTGGAAAAAAATATTCTAAAAAAAATGGTTGAAAACTTCCCAAATTTGGTGAAAGACATAAATTTATAAATATATGAAGCTCAGCAAATTCCAAACAGGATAAATTTCAAGAGAAACACACAACTAAGGAAAAATCTTGAAAGCAGCCTATTACATACAGGGAAACAATAGTTTGAATTAACACAGATTTCTTATCGGAAACCAGAAATATTGAGTACAGAGGGAAAGAATCTGTCAACCTAGAGCTCTGTATCTTTCAGTAATGAAGATGAAATAAAGACCTTACTTTCAGATAAGAAAAACTAAGGGAATTTTTTTACCACCTGGTCTGCCCTACACAAAATGCTAAATAGAAATTCTTCAGGCTGAAGAGAGACAGTACCAGAGAGAAACTCAGGCCTTCAAGAATGAATGAAGAGGATGAGAAATAGAATGTATATGAGTAAATATGAAAGACTTTAGTTTCTCCTCATTTCGTTAAAATACATATGATTGTTTAAGCAAAAATGAAAACAATACATTGTGGGTTTATAATGTATATACAATATATATGACAATTATAACAGCAGGGGGACGGATAAATGAATCTGTATCATTGGAAGGTTTCCACATTTTACAAGAAATGATAGAATATTATCTCTAAGTAGACTACGAACAGGTAATGATGTATATTACAATACCTAGGGTAACCACTAAAATATTAGAGAAAGCAAATATAGCAAAAATGCCAAAGGGTAAATTAAAATGGTAATTCTAAAAAACACTGAAATAATCCAAAAGAAAGTAAGAAAAGAGGAACAAAACAAACAAGCAAGCAAAACAAACAAAACAAACTAGAGGGACCAAACAGAAAACAAATAATGAAATGGTAGACCTAAATCCAGTCATATCAACATAATAAAATGTTAATAAACTATATATTCCAATTAAAAGGCAGAAACTATCAGAATGTATAAAAAAGAAAGTCCCAACTATATGTTGTCTATTAGAGATTTACTTCAAATACGGAGATACGGATCCGTTGAAAATAAATGGATAAAACAAGATATACCAAAACACAAAAGAATAGGAATGGCTATATTAATATCAGAGTGAAAAAAAACTTCAAGACAAAGAGTATTAACAAACGTAGTGACCAACATTTCATAATGAAAAGGTGAATTCATCATAAAGACATAACAATTTAAAATATGTATATACCTAATAACAGAGCTTCAAAATACATAAAGTAAAAACTGACAATTAAAGAAATAGTCTAAAATCATAGTAAGTAATTTTAACACCTCTCTCTCAGCAATTGATAGGACAATTATACAAAAAAAAAAGAAAAACATGTTATCTAAGCAATATTATCAACACCTAAAACCTAATTGGTATTTATAGAGTACATACAACAGAATATATTTTTTCACAATATTTAATTGAGAGAAACTATATGCTGAGT